AAAGTATGTTTTCGGGGTAGATGTGTCATTGGGTGTCGTGTTGAGAGTGTTTCTTCTTATTACTTAAGTCTCTCAACACGACACCCAATATTGATACATCTACACAGAAAACAAACACTTTGAACCCTGAAGATGATCTCAATAAAGATCGAAACGTTGGCACGAGTTTTTCTAAAACCTACATTACATCAGACCGCATCTCACGATCTCCAAATAATCATTAACTAACGGTCACTAAACACCACACAAACATAAACAATGTACATAAGTTTATTTTTCTCAACAATCCTACAAGGCAAAACTTTTTCCTTGTTTCAAACGAAGTGCCAATAAACTTTTTACTCATTTGAATTTCAAAACTCGATATCCAATTTTAGCTTTTAAATTCGGGCCCGCTGCGGTTTCTCCGGCTTTTAGCTTTCCGAAAGAAGGAAAAGGTTTTCTGTCCTTGTGGGTATTGACCTTTGGCCAATGGCCGGCCGACTTTGAGACAGGAAGATCCGGTACTGTGAGAATCTTCATCGTCAATTTTTTTCTTTTGTCACTATTCCCACATTGAAGAGAATCCTCCGTTTGTCTCTCTCAATATCAGTATGTAGATATTACAATAATTTCTGTAATGAATCATCCTGTTCCATGGTGATTACAGTGCTCTCTTGGATAAAGCATTCATTCACAAAACCTATTACAATACAATGTACAGTCTATTTTTCTTTAAAAAGTCATTTTTTTAATTTATTTATCATTTTCTTTACTGCTTCTTCATCTTTTCACGCAATTTTTAAGCAGTAGATATACTTAAAACAAGACCGATGTAGACTGATCTCGGACTAGCAATACATGCGGCAGGTAATGTGGTGATCTTTCCTATGTTGCTTATGTCACCATCATTACTTATCGCGTCTCCCAAATATATGTATTCTTCTGTTCTCAGTATATGTTAATTGAGCCTGATGAATAGTAGTCATTCTGACTCTATTATCGCGCTGATGGAAGAGCTCTCGGCATTTCATGGTTATCTTCATTTTCACGTACTATAATCTGATAGGAATAATTCATTGAACTGACTTTTTTGCCTGTGTGTTCATTTGTGTCTGGGTTTATCATTTTGATGTTGAAATGACCTATGGAAAAATAATTGGATATTGCAATGAATCTGTGTGTCAGCAATTCTTTGTAGTTGGTCATTTCTGCGCCGCAAAACGATATTGCTAGGATGAAATTCTTCTCGAACCATGACAAATTACTACCTCACCAATAGCTGATATTCGATCAGCGCGAATAATGCTACTAACTCTGGCTGCCTGATGGCATTTTTGAACGTCAACATTAAATTATTGTCATGTAACATTTTTTGCAATGACTCAACAAGCTTCTGATTCTGGTAGAGATTTGGCAGTGTGCATTCAATTGGTCATTTTCATCGCAAATAACCTCTGCGGTAAACTTGTCCCTGAATTTAAAATTTCGGCATAAAATGCTCTGTTATGACGTTAGCGCTGATTGAAGTCATCTGAAAAAATGAATTGTAATATCTGATGTTTTTGAATGATTAGTTATTCCATTTAAGAAACTTTTCAGCGGTTCTTTTGGCAGCTCCAGTTCAGGTAGCGTCACTTTACCGCTCGCGCAGCAAATTTCCGGGATTTCTCTTTAAATTTCTTTGCTTTGTAGTGTGGACAAACTTTGTGCATTTTTCCGATTTGAACGAATTTACTTGAGGTATTGTATCGAATATCCGGTTCGTATGAAAAAGCGTTCGGTGATATGATGCTCGATCATATATCATGCTCCCTAACCATTCAGATGTTGATGATGGTCATTGTTCTTGGCATTGTTGAAACGATTGTGCTGCTCTTCTTCTTCTCGATTCGACTCGTAAGACTTCAAATCGCTGATCTGCCGATTTTTCTGCTCACCTTTGAGAAGTTCTGTCTCTAACACGTTCATTATCGTTTAAACGTTCTTGATCAATGCGGTTTGATTTTCTTTGACGTTCTATGATTGCTTGTCGAGAACGGCGAAATATGTTCGAACATGGGCAAGGCATTACAGATGATTAATGACTACTCTACTATGACTAAGATTTTTTAAATTATAACTTAAGGATTTCATATATACTTTTGTAGAACACCAATTTAATTCGGAAACGATTAACTTTAGCAAAAAATGGTCTTATACACACCCCAAGTTAATTTTGGCTAGGAATCGCGTTGTGGTAACGGATTTAACATAATTTTCTCATCTAGGTGTGATGATTAGTGACCGTTAATCGATAATTATTCAGAAATCGTGAGAACACCAGACCGCATCTCATCACGATTTCTGAATAATTTCTCATCTAGCTCGGAAATGACACAAACTTTGTTATTTTAAATGAGAAGCCCATACTTTTATTGTACAATTCGATTCTAGAGCTTATTTTATGTCACTTTTACTGAATGGAAATTTTTTATAGGATCGACCAATTCTGAGTTATGCCCGACGGAAGACGCGTGAGTTGTTATGTTTTTTGCTACAAGATGGCCCTCCTCGTTTTTAATTTAAATTTAGGGGTTTTATACAGTGCCTTTTTGTGCATTGAACTTATTTGAGCATTTTTATAAACATAAATTTTAATAAATGGTCAAATCTGCAACAATACATAGTAATATACATAGTAAGCTTAGAGTCATTTGAAAAATAAAATTGATTCCATGATATAAAAAATCTTTTTTGTAAAAAGAGGTTTTTTAAAAATTAATATAAGCTAAGCATAAAAGCAACCTCAAAGTAACAAAGTTAGTGTCATTTCCTAGCTAAATGAAAAAAGTTGTCATTAATTAATAAATCTGTTACCACCACACGATTTCTAGCCAAAATTAACTTGGGGTTGTATAAGACCATTGTTTCTTAATTAATAAGTTAATCGTTTCCAAATTAAATTGGTAAACTATAGAAATAGATTGTGTAAATATTTGTTCCAAAATCAAAACATTCATTCAAATGAGAAATACACTCAATACAAAATAAAGAGATGTATGTATTAACGTGAATTCAAACATGATCAACTTGAAGTTGATTTTGAATAAGAAAAACCACTTAAGAAGTTTGATGTCCATTAGCTGAATTTTAAATGTACAGGAATTTAGGGAAATGGACAAAAGAACAGGATCAGCATTGCCTTTTAGTAACACTCTCTGAGAGAGATTTTTGTAAAGAAACGTTAAGATGAGAAGAAATGTGAAATCAGAGAAGTCAAATGATCTAAGTGTGTTCTTGAAAGCATAAGAGAAGGAAGAAATTTAATGTGTAGGAGAATAAATTTGAAAGTTGCGCCAAGGTGACGTCAGACAGTGACGTACTTAAATCTGTTGGTCACTTCTAAGAAGGTTATTGGTTACAAGTGCTTATGTATATAGAGAATAAAGAGCGTGTGTTTGAAAACGAAAAGTCTACGTTTTCTTTATCCGATTCAATCCTGAAAAGGCCCTACAAATGTTACGTGGTTTTTTGCCAGCATTCTGCAGACATTGGAAAAAGATTGGATTCAATTTAATGTGTAGATTCTGCAAAGAAGCTCAAACAACTCAAATAAATTGACTATCAGATAGCAGTCCACGTTAGAAAGTTCTTTGAACTTATAAGCACAATTGTGGAAGTTGTTTGTTATTCACTGTCCCTCCAAATGGGGGCATGGCGAATGAATGACATCCAAATAAGGGTGACACTGACTATCAAACTGATCTGGCCTGGACCTATTTTAGATTTAAGTCAGGAAAAAATCGCAACAGCTTTTTTTGGGTAATAAAAGAATGGAAAAAAAATAGAAACTTCCATGATAGATTATTGGCTACCATTTGATTTTTGCCTTGGAAATATGACTTGCCACACAAAATAAATTAGTTCACATTTAACTATAAATTAAAGATGAATGTGGGGAAACCTTTGTAGCAACCCTTCACAAGCTGCCTTTGAAAATTGAAAATGTCTTTATTTAACTAGTAAAAAAGTAATTTTTCGCTAAATACATATTTATTATTCACCCTGCTTTAAATGTTGATTCATAATTCATCTCAACATTTCGTAACATCTACCAGGGATGCTGACTTAATCCAGCCAAGATTTTAAACTATCCTAGGAATAAATTTAGCATCAACATATAACAATAAATTTTTTTGAATGACCCCTTGGACTCCAGAATAAAAGATTATAAATGTAGGACGGTTATCATGTATGTAGTTCGTGTAAGGGGTTTCAGTACTACGAGGTTTTAGAAAATTTTCAAAGATACTTCCTTAAAAAAATGTTTTCTTTGCCATCAGTCATCCCTAACTTTGTGCTAGCTTTAGAAACTGAAATGGAACCCTTATTTTTGTACACCCTCCAGCTTCAACCTAAAATTCTTCCTGAAAATACTGAAGTTGTTGCCTTGTAATTATAATGTTCCTGAAGATATAACTCATTTTCTGGGTCATTTTCCTTTCCTTGCAGAAGTGTAACTATTTTGGAATTGGAACTCTTTCAAGGGACCACCCTCAGCCACATATTAATTTATTTTAATATGTTTCTCTGCCATTTTACATATTTTGGTGAATGATCTATTCAATTTTGCTAGTTTATGTTTATAAATAAGTTAATTAATCATGTTTCCTGTCACTTTCCTGCAAGCAGCCCTTGTCATTGAATGTAATATTTTATATTTTTTAAAGAATGTATATTTTTTTTTTCAAATAAAAATTGATATAATAAAAGTAACAATAATAATAGATTTAGCAGTGGATTTTTATAAATTTAGCTATAATATCTGTGCTTAATTATTCTAACAATTTAACAAATATTTTACTTTCTGGAGTAACATTATATTACCTTAATAATATATAGAGCATGTTATACATATGTACTTATAACATATCAGCTTGAAAAAACCCACCATTATTCAAGTCCAATGTAATTGTTATTACATGAAACATTGAATTCCCAAAATTGTTAAACATTTTATANTACATGAAAAATAATAATTACATGTAAGTGTGGTTGAGATTAATACTTTCCACATATGCCTGGTTAACGACCTCTTTCCATGTAGCTTTTGGCCCTAATTTTTCTTTGATAGGTTCTAAACGTTTACTCAAGATTTCACAGCAGACTTTAACAGCCTAAAATTGTATAATTATTTCTTGTTTTATTTGGGGAGTGGAAAAGTCAGTTTAAATTTTAGAACATTTACATAGCAAACGGCTTCACTGCCAACACTTCCTCCCGTAGATGAGTTGTTTGGCGAAATAAGAGTTGTCATAGGTTTAACATTGACCAATTCGAGTTCTATACCTAAGATGTGTGCAGCTACTTGTGCAGCCTATAAAAAATTTAGTAGTAAATAATTTGTATCTATTTTATTTTTGAGTTGATTACCTTGGTGTTCACTCCCTGGCCCATTTCAACGGCTCCGTGGGAAATGGAAACTGTACCATCCATGCCAAAAATGGACACCATTCCATAGAAACCACCCCAGTAATAGAAAGGGTAGTTCATCGGAACAAGTGATATGCCTCGCTTCTTCCAACGATTGTCCTAAAACAATGAAATGATTATAAACAGTTAAAAAAAAAAAAATCAAATTTAGGTACAAACGTTGTTGAACTGTTCAACTTCTTTCACTCTTTCATCATAATTTGATGCCTTTTTAATATCCTCGATTAACTGAGGGATCAGATTGTCTTCTTTGTCCATATTTGCCAGTCTGACTGAAACTGGATCTTTTTCAACAACATTTGCAATATGTTCCATTATTGTTTCAATAAGAGAAATCGCCTCTGTTGAACCTTTAAAAGACAATTTTTGTGAACAGTTTTAAGTTCAATAAAGCAATAGCTGAAATATATACCTGGAGCCCTACACCAGGTGTTGCTAGCGGTGTCTGTTTTAACACCATATCCGATTATGTTCCAAACGCTTGTGTCATAAGCATTTTTAATGTGGTGAATTGTTTGTCCGATTGATGAATCATTTGGTCCATGTCCATCATCTTGATAGATGCTTGAATTCAAATACTGAATCTCTCCTTCACTGTTAACTCCGACCTAAATAAAAAGTTAAATAAAGGTGAATTTAATATATAATTTACCAAAGCCCTGATTAACCTCATAGTCACTGAATACAGGGAAACGCTTTCCAGCCCATTCAACATTTGTCTCTAAGTTAAGCACCATTCGTACAGGTCTATGAAGAAGATGAGCTGCCAAAGCGCAAACAACACTGACATGGTTGTTTCTTGTGATTTTTGCACCGTATCCTCCTCCAAGTCTTCTAACACGAATGTCAATTCTGCAATGATCAATGTTTAAAAAATAAATAAATAAACTGCACAAATGGATGTTACATGTGTTCGGGGATATTCAATGCAATANAACAAATCCATCCCTTCTGTAAGACTGATGTTCGCTCCAAGGGTGATTCCATCATTTCGAACCTCATAACCATGAAGTTCAGGAATGCCATTCAAATCAATGTAAACTTCAGGGGTTTCTTTGATTCTATACACGCCTATAAAAAAGTTATGTTATAAAAAAAATATATATATATCGAGTATATACTTATGTACCCTGTCCAGTGTTGCCAGCTATAAGTCTGTATGTTTTGTCTTCGATCATGTCAAATATTTCCATAATTTCTTTTACACTCAATGGCCTGTACCAAGCAGAACCATTTTCCAGTTCAAAGTGAAGCGATGATGGAGGCATTATCGCTGTCGACTGGGCGCTTGAGCACTTCTGATTACAGGACCCTCCTGAGCAGTTCTGTCCAGTTTTGGGGCAAACCATATCCTGGAGTTTTAAGTTTGTTTCAATTAGTTTTAGCTGAAATGACAAATGTTAGATTTTTGGAATACCTCAATGTCGGCCAACTTTTGCACCAATTCCCCGGGAGCATCAGATGCAAGGGATTTAAAAGCATCGAGTATTGGCCTGTAGCCTGTACACCGACAGATATTCCCACCGAATGAATTTTCTACATCTTTCATCGTCAGTTTAGGGTTTACTTCAAGCAAACTGAAATACAAATATTTATAAATGAGGACATACATTTTTAAAATATATATTAACAAGTTATATATTGAGTAGAATAAGAGTTTTACAGACTACAAGGAGGAGAGAATTCAGAAGTACATGAGATACACTGATATGGTATACAGATATCTCCAAAACAAGTGAAGAAAATGGATCAGGCATTTTTTGTATACGCTCAAAATATGAGCAATCAAACTCAACAGGGTCTTTCAACATCGGCCATACATGCCATCAACCCTTGTGCCTAAGAAAAACTAAAAGAGGTTTACTGACAAAAAAATCCCCACAAAATCAGATAACCATGCAACCATTAAAGCATTAACATGGAAAAAATCACAACAATCAGTGAATGAATACAAAATCTGGGGAAACACAACCTGATGATATCTTGGGTACCAGGACAATTTCAGGTAATGAAAAGGCAGACACCCTGGTAAGAGGTGGTAAGGTAAGGTCCTGGGCCTATTCCCCTGGAATAGAATGTAATGGATCCAAAAAATACAAAACTCTAGAGGTGCTAGACACATTTATGTTAAAACAACCATCACCAAAACTGGCAATTTCATTGCTACAGTTAGAGAAGACACAGAGAGAGAAAAACCGGTCACAGGGATCTGATAAAACATTAACATAGAATGTGTATATTCAATGATGGCCCAATTTGTAGGTTATGCAATGAGAAGGAAGTACCAGGTACTGATATCTTTGAAAGTGAACCTCAATGGAGACATAATGTGGGATACAAAGAAAACCCAGGGAAAAGAATTGTAGCAACAACAGACAATGACCTTGACGTTGATGTCTTAAGCAAAGGATCAAGTTTCCTGCACTGAACTAAGGAACTAGGAAAGTACAAGCCAGAAGGCTGCAGTTTGTGGGTAACATAAAACCCCCAATTCTTAGTATTCGTATTCATCATCTGTGTATTTTGCTCCCTAATCACCTTGCAATTACTAAAAATCTGACATTCATGTAAACTCATCCAATTTGAAATTGTACCGCAGTGGTTTTATTTGTCAGACAGGTCTTTTCTTTAAGCCACCTTCAGTGGGTGGCCATTGTTATTTTGCCAGGATATCTAAGATACAAGTTCAGCACCTCACCATGTTGATGTCTAAATAAAATGTAATTTTATTACATGCTATTGGGGGGAAAACGAAGAAAAAAAGGCGGGGATAAAAGGACAGAGCTTAAGGCTCTGGTTGTACATATTGGTGATATGCTTACAGAAAACTTGGTAATAAAGCTTTATTTTTTGTTAGGTCATCCTTTCATTAAATTTATACATTTTATTACATATAACAATATTTTGTGCATTATCCACCTGTGCATATTCATGACCATTCCTGGGCTACAGTAGCCGCATTGGGAACCATTGGCAGCTGCAAGGCGCGTCTGGATTTTGTGGTATCCAGAGTATTTGTTCCCGAGACCCTCGATGGTGGTCACGGCCCAACCGTGGCATGCAAATATAGGCACGAGGCACTAAAACAGGCCAAAATTATTATTTATAACTAAATTAATTTTTTCAATAAGCTTACTGAATTGACGGAATAGAATATCGGATGGTGGGTCATCGGGTGGACAGAATGGACAGACACGATGCATGCTCCGCAGCCACCTTCCAAGCACATGAACTTGGTACCTTTCAGGTGGGCGTGTTCCCTGATGAACGTGTTCAGAGTTGTGTCTGCAGGTACATCATCAGAAACTGCAATATGTTCAAAAAACAGGTTTTTTTTAATAAGAATAACAATTTTTTTAATTAGTTGATGTAGTTACAACTAATGTATGTCTTTTTTATTGTTTTAAGATCATCAAAGAAGAGTTTTCGGCCAAAATCTTGCTTTTTTTTGTAGAGTTATAAAAGATTCGATTGAAATGACGTCCATAACGGAAAGAAAATTAGCTGGGAAATGCTGACAAATTCAGAGATAGCTTTTATGGTTCGTGGTTTTTCACAATCACGACTACATCGCCCATTATATTCGTCGTTGTGTGAAAGAATTGTAAAATAGATAATTCGACAGCAGTCATGGAGCAAGTTCAATATTTTATTATAGCTTCTAATTAACAAAAATCGTTTGATTCAATCGTTATTTCGTCGATGGCCAAAATTGTTGCAATTTCACTTGTCATATTAATATGGTGTCAAAAAAAATAACCGATTTGATTTTTTTTGGCTTTATATGTTTTTCAAATCCAATTAGATTGGATACCACTTTAATCCGTATACTATATTAATGAATGTGTTAAAAATGATCTCGTTTTTTCTTCAGTTTTGTCTTAGAATTTGGTTAAACAATTACGACGGTAAAAGTTTAAATTTTGGCAATATTTCGCCATTATCGAAAGAGTAAGTTTTCGGCTGCCGAAACAACCCATTTGGTGCGGCAATTTGAAAAAGAGAATTCTCTCTCTGAACGGACAGTGTGCAGAAAGTTTCAGAATTTGGAAGCCGGTGACATCAGCCTCGAGAGGAAAGAGGGTTCTGGACGAAAATCATCATTCGATGAAGAAGCTCTGCGGGACTCTGTTGAGGTACCCCACGAAAAGTACTCGAATTGGCAAGAAAGCTTGGAGTTTCCCAATCAAACATAAATCGTGGACTGCATAACTCGGGGAATGTGAATCACTCGTTAAGATTGGTTCCTCATAAGTTGACCATTGAGCAGAACGCAAATGACCGGTTCATCAAAAAAATAGTTACTTCCGATGAAAAGTGAATATACCGGAGAACCCCCAAGACCAAGAAACAATGGCTAGACTGCAATCAGCCTGCATTACCAGTTTTAATTCTCTGGATGTGGTTCAAAATGGAGTTGCAGAATACTTCCGTTCAAAGCCCAAAGAGCTGTATTGTAAAGGAATCCGACAACTGCTTCGAGATGGCAACAAACCATATAACACAACGATATATCCTTTGAATATTAAAAAAAGATTGGTTCCTCATAAGTTGACCATTGAGCAGAAACTGGTGTGTCGTAGGTTCAGAAAAACATTTTCTTTATCGTGTCACGTTCGATCTTTATTGAGATCATCTTCAGGGCCTGGGATTTATAAACATTGTTCATTGTACGATTATATTTACTAGAAAACCAAATAAATTAGCAAGGAACTTTCATCCAAGATTGACAAAGTTGATTATTATATTTCGTTAGTGAGGCAGCAAAAATTGTTGCAATTGGACATAAAATTGCACGTTTGACACGTTAAACTCCTTTTTATGTTTTTTCTCTACTCGCTCTGCCGCCTTTGAAGTATTTCAGCTTTGTCGCAAGAATGAGTGTGTTGATAAGTCGGACTGAATAATGCAAAGTATAAGCGAACGTTACCCCCCGATATCGATTTAATTATCCATTCCACCCGTTTTGCCAAATTATCGGTAAATCTTAATTTTTATGTAATTCGTTGCGTGCTGGGCATAAAAACACTATTTTGTTTAATGAATGATCAATTTTAAAACCTAAACTAACTTTGCTTTGATTCTTAAGCATAAACGCCTCCAATATACATATATTTCAGTCTATTTTAAAAATCATACCAATGATATTCTCCATTGATAGGCCTTCAAATTGTAAAATTACATTTCTTTGAATTCTTATCCAAAGGTTGAAAAATCCCAAGTTCTCCTTCAATTTTGTCTATTACATGACATTCGGGCCTACGGCCCATCATCAGGACTATGCCATAGATACATATATATTTCCACCATTTTAAGGGAGATGTCGTCAAAATGGTTTTAAAAACCTCTACCGCTATCCGCCCTTCCGCGTGAGCCTCCACTTTTTAGAAGGTGATTATTAGTTGTTTTTTTTTGGCGTGTTGGGCGTTTGGCAAGAGTTGTGTAGGTACTGTTTTCCGGCCTCCCCTGGTTGACAAATTGGTAAAAAACCAATAATCTCCATCTAAAAAGTGGAGGTTCACGCGAAGGGCGGATAGCGGCGGATGTTTTTAAAACCACTTTGACGACATCCCCCTCAAAATGGGTGGAAATATATATGCATCTATGGTGCTGATGGTGGTCAGTAGGCCCGAAACGAATGGAATAGACAAAATTGAATAAAATATTTCAACCACGGAGAACTTGGGATTTTTCAACCTTTGGATAAGAATTGCTACGAACCGTGGATTTTAAGAGAAAGATTTCTTTGAATGAAAATCGGATTGTCTATGCTATAACAATGCTGGTGAATGCTAAACGGATCTCCGATGGCAATCTTTTTTAAATTGGGGTTTCACCCAAAGAACATAGCATTTGGTGGGATCTGGAAACATTTTACAATGAATTGCTTCCCGAGAACGAAACGGTCAATTAAATTAAATACTGTTCTCAACTAAGCCAACCTGCAGTTATAAATGGAAAACAAATCGTTATCCTCTGTGTCAATGCAAGGTCTTTTATTGCAAAAATTCTTGCTGTGTGCCAATGCAAAATTTATATTCATAACCCGGCCAATTTTTCGAATAAAAACAAGTGAAAACGTAACAGGAATTTAGAGTATCATAAAATAGCCTGGAAGGTACTTGAATCAATAAAACCAGACAGGTATTGCATGTATTATATATCAGCGTTGTTCTAATAATAGTTGAATAAAATTTTTACTTTACTATTAGATCGAATGAATACAGTATCAAACAATAAAATGAATATTGCAAACATCTTAGACACATTTGGCTTGCGTATTGAATAAATTTTTTTTTATATTTCAATATTTTATTATGTAATTTGATGATGCATAGATATATTTACAGCAATTTACGAATTTACATCGCTGGGAGCAAATAATCAATAATATTATCCCACTTCACTTATCTAAACTTCACTGCTTCTTCAGACGCCTTATGGCATTGGAGTGTGCGTTGTTGGATAAAGCTTGGGCAAGACTATTGGGGTGATGGGAGAGTTTCGTTCATTTTTTGGGAATTAATTTTTCGATAAATGGGATTTTAAGGTGATTGTGGAGGCTAGTACTGGAGATATAATACGGACCATTATAATTGATCTGGAGAATTTAGACTAAAAAGTTTGAAGTCATTTGATATTGAAAGATTTAGCGGTTCCCCCACAGTTCCATTCCGTATGTCCAAATCGGTTGTAGTAGCGTTTTGTAGACTGTGAGTTTGTTTTTCGACGATAGTTTGAATTGCCGTCCTGTACTTTAGTAGAGCAGACCATTGCGTATGTATAGGTCTTGTCGTTTCAGTAATGTATGCTGATTCTATGTTAGGCATGAGACTAGATGGAATCCAAGGTACGGATAGGGGTATAGAGAGAGGGTTAAAAGAGGCGGCCACAAGGCCTACTGCACCTCGACCTGAATAGATCTATTGTGCTCCCCTGTGTTTGATAACTTACTGGCCAGCTTCAGGTTGTTAATCAGCCTCCGCAGCTTTGCCTGCGGCTCAGTGTAGGATCTTGCTTGCGGTTTTTCTTCTCCTAGTTGTAAGAACCTATACCTACTTAGAATATGTTCTGTGGACTCCTCTTCTTCCTGGCAGTATCTGTCTGTACATCTGTGCTTTCTTTAGTGGCAGTGCCCTGTCAGGAGTCCTACCAGAATCCTGGTTCGGTTGCCTACCAGAATCCTTTTGTGGATGGACTTCTTTGATCTCTTCGTGTGCCTTATAACTGTGGTATTGTTCCACAAGGTTTTGGACTAATTAAGGAATCAATTTTAAGATGTATCCTCTTTTGTGCCAAGATGCTAAGCCACGGTAAGATTTAGGACCCATTTTTTGGCCAACATGTTTGGCCCTCTTTTCGTTGTCTCTATGCCCCGAGTGCCCATGCCAGGTAAGGTCTCAATCCAAGGTAAGGAACACAGTCGTATTTTGGAATAGGAAAATTGTTGTAGTAGATTGTGAGAGGAAATGCTTCGGAGTGTAAATGTGATATGGACGCACTTGCTTTCATTTGTCTTCATTTTCCATTATCTACACAATCTCCTATACATGTGATATGTCTCTGCATATCTTCCGAAGCAACTGTAGGATCGGGGTCAGAGGAGAGTAAAGCTGTGTCATCGGCAAAAGGTGCAATTAGGTGTAGTGGAAACATCTGCAGTATAAAGGTCCACTGCCCTGCGGGACTCCTGCGGCCTGAGAGCAGAGTTCGTAGTAGTCTTGTCGGATCCGAAAAAACCGCTCTGTTAGACAAGATTTGAAGCGGGTAAAGGGTATTTGGAAGGACACGCTTTAATTTGTACAGGACATCCTTGTGCCACATCAAGAAAGACTCCCATACAATGGATATGTGACCTACAACGCGAAACACTTGTTGTATTGTGGAATGGCGAGAGCTAAAGCCAAACAGATGATCAGGAAGATGGTTAATTAATCGTTAATTTTAAAATTCTTACTTCTTATAATGCTTTATTGCAAATTCATGGAAATGCATGAAACTTTCCCTAAATATCCATTGCTGAAGTACTCGAGGTATGTAGGCAAATAGTTGTATTTTTTTGTACTGAAAATAAAAGAGAACTATTTCCTAAAGTAACGTAGAATGGAATAAAATTTGCACGAAAAATATCAAAAAAGTGGTCTATTTGAAAACCGTTGGAATTTGGAATCCTTCACAAATAAAATTACCAGTAACTGGAGAGTGAAGTGCACATATTCATAAAAAAATTTAATTGATAAAATTTTTAAATTATTTGAATGTCTAATTTTTTTTATATAGATTGCAGGAAAGGGGCATTTGAACAAAGTAGAGCGTAATTTTGGTAAAAGCTTCATGAACCTACAAATGCGAAATAAACACAAACTAAACAAAATTGCGTAAATTATTGTTAGAAGAATATAATATATTAGCGAAAGCTTCATGAACCTACAAAAGAGAAATAAATACAAACTAAACAAAATTGCATAAATTATTGTTAGAAGAATATAATATATTAGCGAAAGCTTCATGAACCTACAAAAGAGAAATAAATACAAACTAAACAAAATTGAATAAATTATTGTTAGAAGAATATAATATATTAGCGATTAACCATTAATGAACAGCAGGTGGGAATATACTGAAACGGATGACCTCTGACCCTGTATGTCGTGATTCTCATAACCAGCAGTCAAGCAGTCATGCCGTACAGTTTCACGTAATTTTCCCCTTTTTCTTCTTTTATGTCTCTGCAATCGTTTCTCGGTGAGGAAACAAGACTGGTCTCATTTATCGCCAGTGAAATTAAACAACTCGATAATTGTCGTGGTGCAATATGTCATTTGTTCATACCGAATCATTTTGAATAAATGACACATAAAAGAATGCTATTATCCGAAATTGTTACCTTTGTACGACTTCCCGTTTATGGTCAGTTCCACTTCTCTCCCCAAACTCCTGAAACAAGACCAAATGTGTCATTAACCAGGTGAATTGACTGGAGACAATAATAGTTTCTTAGACAAAGATCCCATAGACTCCAAAAGGGTTTTAGAGAAAATAATTTATCGGGACGTTGGAATTAAATGAAATATTTAGTAGTCTACTGACCAAATCACTTCATTCAATTAATTAATCTTTTTACATAAGGTTATGGTTGAAAGGTAAAAATTACTATCACGAGCGGGATTCGAACCCACGAAGCCGAAGGTCGTGGGTTCGAATCCCGCTCGTGACACTAACTTTTATCTTTCAACCAAAACCTTATGTAAAAAGGTTAATTAAACAAAAATGTTTCACATTGATAAGAGAAAAAATATTGGTGGAAAAAGATCTAACAAAAAATTACGAGCTCCCACTCTCATACTCAAAAATATAACAAAACATTCAGATTAAAGATCGCTAAACACATGGAAAAATATAACAATCGCCACTATCAAAATATAAACAATACAGTTAAAATCTTCACTGATATTCTGCTGTCAAGTCTGAATCTCACCCTTCTAAAATTAAGTTCTTACAATTTGTTGTTTTCAACGAACCGGATTTCGAGCATTAAACTCATAAGGATGTATTTTTCCTCTAAATTTCCAACATATTAATAATTCCATAGATAACAATATATTCCTAGACGAAATAAACTCCCATTGGCCGGAATTCTATACTATATTCACAGATGGATCAAAATCCCAAGATGGTGTGGACGATCTATGATTCTAATTTGATTATAAAGAACAGTATAAGAGTGCTATGCTATCCTAAAAGCCGTTAAGTACACCCAAAAGACAGCAAACCAAACAAAAATTCTAATTCTATCTGATAGTAGAAGTGCACTGCTAAAAATAAAACACTCTATATTAGAAACTTCATCGAATCCCATAATAGTAGAAATAACGCACAACCTCTACATCATGAAGCAAAAAACATAAATATTAAACTGATTCGGGCTACTGCGCACTGCGGAATTAAAAACAATGAGATTGTCGATACCCTCGCCAAACAAGCTGTCACAGAAGGGTCAGATATGAACGACTTTGAAATGGCGATCTCTGGCGCTTTCACTGAAAATAAAAGACTCCATCGAAAAGTATGGCAGATTAGGTACTCTGAGTACCCCAAAAGGTAAATTTTTAAATCTATCCAGCCAGAAATACCGTTACTACGTGGTATGTAGGACGTAAAATGCCAAAAAGACTGTGCAAAACCATCTGCAGACTACGTACTAACCATGCACTATGTAAAAAATACAAGTAGATAGCCCGATATGGGGAAGAAGAAACAATGGAACACCTAACCTTATGAGCTGCCCAAGTTTCCTAAGGAAACGACAAAATTTTTTCAAAAAAATTATCACGATCCTTCACAATATTTGGTAGTATTTTGCAACTCCATTTTGAACCTCATCCAAAGAATTAAAAGTTTTCCCTTGAAGATAATGAGCCATGGATCCGAACAGATAGTAGAAAAAAGGTGTTAAGTCAGGACTGTACGTAGGGTGAGGAAGAAGCTCAATTCCATTCAATTCTGTAATTTTTTCTTTCGTGTAACGAGAGAAGTGTGTGTTCAGGCGTTATCTTGTTGAAACAAAACCCGATTTATATTGACTAATCCGGGATAATGCTGGGTCAAAACATCATACATTTTTTGTAACTGCTCACAATAAAGTTTTGAATCAATGGTTCGACCTTTTAGAATGAACTCATAATGAATTATGCCTTCGAAATTCCAAAATAGAGAGAACAAGAATCTTTTTGTCGAGTTCCCCTTGTACTGGTACCGACTGGTAGAGCAGGCGGATTGGTCTTGGGGGTTCTCAAATATATTCACTTTTCATCGCAAGTAACTATTCTTTTGATGAACCAAAGGTCGTTTGGGTGTTTCAAAAGTAAATTTCTGCTTGCGTCATGCCTGCTCAATGGTCAACTCTTGAAGAACCACTCTTCATGAGCGATTCACTCTCTATAAGTTATGCAGTCCACGATTTATGGTTGACTGGAAAACTCCAAGCTCCATTGCCAATTCCCGAGTACTTTTCGTGGGATCTGCCTCAACAGAGTCCCTCAGAGCTTCTTCATCGAATGATGATTTTCGTCCAGAACCCTCTTTCCTCTCGAGGCTGATGCCACCGGCTTCAAATTTCTGGAACTATTGAAGTTCTGCGTCTGTCCGTTCGGAGACAGCCTCCTCTTCTTCAAATTGCCGCACCAAAAGCGTTGTTTCGGCAGCGGAAAACTTACGTTTCTAATGAAGGCGTAATATTATCAAAATTTCAAATTTTACCGTCGTGCTGTTTAACCAAACTCTAAGAGAAAACTGAAGGCAAGACGAGATCATTGTTTTTACACATTATTTTAGTGTATGGATTAAATTGGTATCAAATCTAATTGGATTTGAAACACAAATAAAGCTGGTAAGTGTTTCATCCGTATCTTGCAGTGGACTTGAGTGGCCCAAATGGCAATGTTTTCAGATGATGAACTTTTGTTTATCGCCCTGATTTTGGATGAAGAAGAGGAACCCCAAGCGAGAAGACGGAAATGGGTCCATCAGGCGTGGAACAAGATAGAGACAGAAGAAAATTTTGCTTGATGCACAACTTAACACTTAAACTTCTTAATTCATTAAGAATACGCACGTATAATTACGGTACTTCTCAAGAGGATTCGAGGAGTGAACGTCAAATACTACAAAATTTACATTTACAGGGAGGGAATTTTGTATCCGAGAAATATTCACTGATTATTTCAATTCTGATGCTGGATCTCTCCCGTGGTTATCAAATATCCAACAACCTTAAAACAAGTTCTCATGGTAGTTCATAATTTATTATACCCTGGTACTATTCATAATGTAAACCTCTCTGATATATACACGTAATTTACTCATCAAGTTTTCACTTCTGCTCCTATTTTCCTCCCGAGAATATTCTTGAAATCTGAGTCTATGCATTTGCCTGATCAAACAAACCAAGATAATTTCCCACAAACTCAACGAGTTTTTCGTCATTTATGTTGTACGACCGTGAAAACTGTAAAATCCCGTGAACAAGAAATCCGGTCCGGTGACGACAGCACTGTCGGCACGGCCACGGTCGCGCGCCGGGCGAATGTGAACAAAGCCATTCCGTTTCCAAGAAGAATATTTTCAAACCCGCCGGTTGAACAGAATGCCGGCCACGACACTGTCACGTCACTGATGTGCACGAATCGACCTTTGACCGTTGCGGCCACTGACGCCCCTTCTTCATTTATTAATTTTCAGTGGTGGGTCAGGGATATAAGCAGGGTGAGACCTAGCAATTATTCTAAGGGGCTTAGTCAATTTTATAAATTATTCTAAAGAGGCTTAGCCAAGTTTATAAATTATTCTTAAGGAGCTTAATCAATCTTATAAATTATTCTTAAGGGACTTATTAAATTTTATAATTTTCTTAAGGGGCTTAGTCACTATTATCAATTATTCTTAAGCGGCTTACGGTTGGTCAATTGTATACCCAGTGACATATAACAACCAACACACGGATTGAAAGACCAGCCATTCTTTCGATCCAAAATATTACATAAGTGACCAAACACAATTTATGACTTTGTTAATAGTTTAGATCTGAAAGCTAAAGAAATATTTCCAGTCTATAAATTTGTCAATAAACTCGCATGTTCTTTAAATAAATTCTTTTTCAGGTGCTTAGTCAATTTTATACTTATGGTTAATGTCGTAGAGCAACCAATATCCTACATCTCGAATTAAGAAGAAATCGTCAATCCTTTCAATACAAATATACGAATAACCAAAACTCATAGAAAATAATAAACTAATTCTTTGAAAAAGAAGCCAAAACTACATATTTTACAACATAATAAGTAACAGTACTTAGAGTGAGCTTGCTCAATTTAAAACTTGACTTATGTGTAGTTAAAATACTAGTGATCAAAGGGAAAGCAAGAATTTTTAATAAGTTCATGATATAGTAACAAGACTAGTTGATTAAGCTTAAAGTATATTGTTGAAGAAGAGAAAATTATCTTCTGCAAATGATATTTAACGTATTTCCAACCAATTTTATAGGTGTATTGAGTTAAGTCACTGGTAGTTCAAGTCAAGTTCTACTAGGTAATTTTTCTTGTAAATAAAATGTTATTTGTAAAGTAAGAAGACTTACGAGTATGATGGTTGCTGAGGTGGCATTTTGCTGCTGTACCTTTGTGATGGACTGGCCGGATAGTCTGAAGCAGACTGAACCCGGACTCCTCCAGGCACGGTGCATCCCATCTTTTGCCCCCCACTGCTTTTTTGGATTTCAGCATGCAGAAACCGAGTCTCCGACCGCGACTTTCGACCCAGAAATACGCCTGAAGATTGAAAATTTACGCAACGTTAAAATTCAAAATTTAAAATTGATTCGAGCCAATTGACTCACGAGTGGGAATTGACACGTTAAACTCCTTTTGATGTTTTTTCTCTACTCGCTCTGCCGCCTTTGAAGTATTTGAGCTTTGTCGCAAGAATGACAATGTGTTGACAAGTCGGACTGAATAATGCAAAGTATAAGCGAACGTTACCCCCCGATATCGATTTAATTTTCCATTCCACCCGTTTTGCCAAATTATCGCTAAATCTTAATTTTTATGTAATTCGTTGCGTGCTGGGCCTAAAAACACTGTTTGGTTTAATGAATGATCAATTTTAAAACGTTAACTAACTTTGCTTTGATTCTTAAGCATAAACGCCTCCATTATACTACTATTTACTACTATTATTTATTGCAGTCTATTTTAAAAATCTGCTGAAATATAGACATCCGACTAAATCCACCTGGGAAGAAAATCCAGTATATGAAGACTAATGTGGCATTTTAAATTTTTATAATTTCATCAATGCTTCCTGAAGAGAAAGGTCAGAAACATTAATGAAGTCTGGAGCGATGGCAGGTGAGTGAGAGTACCATTGAGAGGCGGTTTAAAAAATTTCGAGTTTTCTTTCCTAGATGGTGATGTTCTACAGCTCTGGTCGAAGAAAATCCCAAAACAACTTGCAGAGAATCTTGCATTCAACAAATCGCCCGTCTCAAACACCTTAAGATAATTGTAAGGTGAAAAAGCTCGAAAGTTGGGTTCCTCATGGATTAAACGTCCGCCAAAAAATCATCGTTATGAAGTTTCCACCAAACTTCTTTGCTGAAACAGAAACTATTCTTTTTTTGATAGAATTGTTACTTATGACGAAAAGTGGATTCTCTATGACAATAGCAGACGTTTTAGACGGTGCCTTGACAAAGGAGAAGCGGCACCAAATTTTCCAAAGCTTCCAACTCATCATAAAAAGATGATGGTACCAAAGGGTCACAGGCTTCATTTTGGCTGATTTACTATAGCTTCTTGAATCCTGGCGAAACAAACAATGCCGAAATGTATTGCTCACAAATTGAAGCAATGCACTGGAAATTGGCATTATTGAAGCCATCTATGGTCAATCGGAAAACTGTTACATGAGAACGCTCGGCCCCGTGTCACAGGTGACAGCACGAAAACTGATGGATCTTGGTATGAGGTTCTGCCTCACCATCCCTATTCTCCAGACCTCTCGCCTACCGACTACCATTTTCTCTGACACACGGACAACGTTGTACAACATAAGAAAATTTATTGATCAAAAGTCGTTAGAAAATGCGTTTACGGAATTTGTTATTAATAAACTCAAAATTCTATTCAGAGAGTAGAAGTTGCCATCACGTTGGGAGAAGTATTGAGAGTGATGGAAGATATTGTTTATTTTTAATATAAGTTTTACGACTATCGTCAATGTTATACACGTCTATGTATTATATTATATATATAGTCAATACAAGAACGGATTGTCCTTTAAAACGGACCAAATATTGTTGTAAGATAATCAATGTAGGATTATGTAAGAGATAATTAAAAATATTAACGGTAGCAACTTTTTTGTCTCTTAGTGTAGAATGCAGGAAGTTAGGGAAGTAGGAGTCCTGGAACCAAATACTCAGAATTCATGGGAAAATCTATTCCGTATAATAAATATATTCAATATATTCCAGGCTGAAGACCATACAATTGAGAGATGGTCTTTTCAACTTGAACAAGGTGTACAAAAACAAGCATGTAGCTATCATGTCAGACAACCAAGTAGCCATCAAAACTAAGTTCAACTTCAAAGTTTCAAACATGAAATTGCATTATCGCAAACGCCCCTAGCGACAACTGACGGACCCAATGTCATATATACAATACAAAAAAATTAACTATATAAAAGCAAAAAAAAAAAAAAAAATATCGAAGGTCGATTTCTTCCTCTCGCTGGTTTAAAAATTTTTGAAGTAATTTTTAGAATTGCTTAAAGTATATACGTTAGTTGTTATATATTTATATCCTGTCACTAATGTGGTAGCACAAGGGAAAAAAGTAGTATGTAAGGGTATGAAATAACGCAGTATGCTCGTGTAAAATTTAATTATATTTAGAAAAATAATATCTGTGCTTAATTATGTTCACAATTTAACAAATATTCTACTTTCTAGAGTAACAATATATTAACTTTATAATAATTTATACTTCTAACCTATCAGTTTGGAAAACCCACCATTATTCAAATTCAATGTAATTGTTATTAAATCAAACATTGAATTCCCAAAATTGTTAAACATTTTAGAAAAATTTATCACATTTTTTTAAATAACTAGAATTTATGTCCATAAGTGAATCTTGTGTATATATATTATTATAATTATTTTTTTTAAAGGTGCACCAAAAAAATTATAAGATGGGCAAAAAATTGTTTAAAGTTTGAACATGTCTTTTTTGGTCAAACCGCCGAGCCAGATCTTCTCTCCAGTGAATGGTGGTTCTGAAAATAAAATGTTCATTCAATCGATACCAAAACATAGAGACAATAATAAATAAAACTTGTTTAATTACCAATATCAAACCATTTTTCATCTGTTTGCCCAGCGTCTTTTCTCGCCGATTCAACAGCATTGCGTATAGAAAACAGGACAGAACAACTGAGGCAGAAAGGCGGCTCTCCAGTTGCTGTAAATAAAATTTAATATTGTATAAAAAAAATTATTGTTAAATTTTGGACATTAAAAGCTAACCTTTTGATCTTAAAACTCCAAAAGGATTGGGAGCATTTTTGCGAAGGCTGACTCTAAAATCAATCGGGATGTCCTTTGCCCCAGGAGGTTTATAATTCTAGAACGATACATTTTAATGAAGTTATATAATTCTTCTCGTTAAATCCAATCGAAAATTTACCCAGGTACGGTTAGTGAGGATTGCACCCGTCTTCGATTCGTAGACTGCCTCTTCGCATGTAAAGTACCCGAGGCCCATTACAAACGCACCTTCCACCTGTCCGATGTCCACCTCCGGGCTTAAACTCTGACCTGCATCTTCCATCAAGTCCACTCGCCTTGTCTGTAATAAAATAGAAAACAATATTATCTTACTTAATTTATAACAAATTACATAATAATTACATGGTATTGCCCGGTAAGAATGTCGATTTCTACTTCAGTAACGACCGTTCCATAAATTGCATAGGACTTTACATCATCTCGAGCAGTAAACCTGTCACAAATATTTCATTTTTAAATATTACAAATTATATTAAGTTTTGTATCAATAATCTCATTAACCACTTTAACATACAATTCATGTAGATGTAAACATAACATTTTGGATAATATGCTAGTTCATAAGGTCATTTAAAAAAATAATTAATAAATAAAATAATAAATGTATGCTTGGATTGTAATGACAAAGCTACTTTAATTTCTACACTGAATTAAGTATGATGTAAATGATAAATTTCAAAAATTTATTTTTTATTTATAAAATTTTAGATTTTATAAATTTTCAATTACATAAAAAATAATAATTACATGTAAGTGTGGTTGAGATTAATACTGTCCAAGTATGCCTGGTTCACAATCTCTTTCCATGTAGCCTGTGGCCCTAATTTTTCTTTGATCGGTTCTAAACGTTCATTCAAGATTTCACAGCAGACTTTGACAGCCTAAAATTGTATAATTAATTTTTTTGGGGGTGGGGTAAAGTCGGTTTAAATTGTAGAACATTTACATAGCAAACGGCTTCACTGCCAATACTTCCTCCCGTAGATGAATTGTTTGGCGAAATAAGAGTTGTTGTAGGTTTAACGTTGACCAATTCGAGTTCTATACCCAAGATGTGTGCAGCAACTTGTGCAGCCTGTAAAAAATTCAGTAGTAAATGCTTTGTATATATTTTAGTTTTGAGCTGATTACCTTGGTGTTTACTCCCTGACCCATTTCAATGGCTCCGTGGGAAATTGAAACTGTACCGTCCATGCCAAAAATGGACACCATGCCATAGAAGGCACCCCAGTAATCAAAAGGATAGTTCATCGGAACAAGTGATATGCCTCGCTTCTTCCAACGATTGTCCTAAAACAATGAAATGATTATAAACAGTTTAAAAAAAAAAAAAAATCAAATTTAGGTACAAACTTTGTTGAACTGTTCAACTTCTTTCACTCTTTCATCATAATGTGATGCCTTTTTAATATCCTCGATTAACTGAGGGATCGGATTGTCTTCTTTGTCCATATTTGCCAGTCTGACTGAAACTGGATCTTTTTCAACAACATTTGCAATGTGTTCCATTATTGTTTCAATAAGAGAAATCGCCTCTGTTGAACCTTTAAAAGACAATTTTTGTGAACAGTTTTAATATCAATAAAGCAAGGCCTCCCAAACTTTTTATCCAGATCTCTTTCACAGAACAAAATCCAGGGCGAACCCCTTACAAATATTTAAAATTAGATGCTTTGCTATGTGTAATAAACTAAAGTTTTATAACTTTTCCAGTCCAATCCTAATTAGGTGATGGAAAGGGATATTACTATGAAAGCAAACATTAGATTGACATTATTTACAAAATCTGGAAAACAAAAATCAAATTGGACAGAACAGAACCAATAGGTATACAAAATTTGAGCCAAATTCAAAAGTATTCAAACATTAATGAATTAATGCGGTAAGGTTGTTTTAGCCTACACAATTTGGATATGTTGGGATTAATTTTTGATAACTGGAGACTGATGTCGGGTTCAGCTTTGATACACCTTCGGTATTCAGTTTTGGTGGCTGAATGGATAGAAAATCCGGATTCGTATAGCTATGTTTTGGCAAATGGAAAAAGAATGCATTTTTCTTTTTAAACAAGCAGTTGAAATTTTTTGATTTTCAGACGGAGTCAGGGAGTAAAAAATGGGGTACATATTGGACTTGAAAATAAATTTCAAGGTGGATTCTGAAGAAATGTCTATCTAACATTTGTATTCACCTGACGATAGATCGTTTTGGCTTTGTCAAAATTACAAGAAAACGGTTTGACGGCCCATTCATAGACTTGCAGCAACGTATCTCGAGCTGTCGGGAAGTAGAACTCGTAGGACATCTCCCAACTTCAAAGGTGTTCCTATATTTCATCAATCAAAGTGCCGTTCGTAAGCTCCAGTTTCTTTGCTTTTAAAAAATCATTTAACACAGGAAAACACTCCACTTCTTCCATCCAAAACTGGATTTTACTTTTGGAGGGGTGAACTTTGACATTAGAATTGAAAGTTGGGATACTCTTCCCTTGCAATGAAAGACTCATTGCATTCATTTTAATGGCAATATATTATAAATATGGCTTCTCATATTATCACACTGAATTGTGAAAAGTCTTGACTTCAATGGCCGTGACTTGACATAATTAATAATTTGAATAGACTCATCCAAAACTTTCTTAAAAGAAGCTGGCATTTATTTCATAGCGAAAGAATGTCCTTGTAGAACACAGTGACTGCTGTTGTAAAATAAAATACTTTTATTTTCACTACTGATTGCTAATAAATTTTTAATTTTATTTATTCATTCTACTTATTTTTAATTTTCTTGAAATTCGCCGTGGACTTAAGAAGGGTCTGTGGACCACAGTTTGTGAAGCCCTGCAATAAAGCAATAGCTGAAATATATACCTGGAGCTCTACACCAGGTGTTGCTAGCACTGTCTGTTTTAACACCATATCCAGTTATTTTCCAAACGCTTGCATCATAAACATTCTTAATGTGGTGAATTGTTGCTCCGATTGATGAATCATTTGGTCCATGTCCATCATCTTGATAGATGCTTGAATTCAAATACTGAATCTCTCCTTCACTGTTAACTCCGACCTAAATAACAAGTTAAATAAAGGTGAATTTAATATATAATTTACCAAAGCCCTGATTAACCTCATAGTCACTGAATACAGGGAAACGCTTTCCAGCCCATTCAACATTTGTCTCTAAGTTAAGCACCATTCGTACAGGTCTATGAAGAAGATGAGCTGCCAAAGCGCAAACAACACTGACATGGTTGTTTCTTGTAAGTTTTGCACCGTATCCTCCTCCAAGTCTTCTAACACGCATGTCAATTCTGCAATGATCAATGTTTAATAAATAAATAAATAAACTATACAAATAGATGTTACATGTGTTCGGGGATGTTCAATGCAATACTAATGGCTTCTTGAGCTGCGGCAGGCCATTGGGAAGATGGATACACCTCAAGATGATCTTCGGTGGGCACCACAACACAAGTTTGCGTTTCCATGGTGTAGTGATATTGTGTCTTCAAGTCCCAATGTCCCTTAATTTTATACTTGATATCACCTAATTTATGGAAAATATTATTGATACATAACTTTATACATTAACGTACTGATGAATTTACTTTTTTGTGTTGTCGGAGTGAGCTTTGCATATTCTTTGATTCTGTCTTTCATGTTATGGTTTATAATTTGTCTCATGTCCATAATTATCGGTTTCTGATCAGTGTAAGTAATTTTAACTTTCTTCGTCGCATTGATTGCAGTTGTGTGTGTATTGGCTATAATAACACCGACAGCCTGACCAGCATAATCTGCTCTGCCATCGACAAATATCTACGAGTGGCAATATGTTAATATATCTTCAAACAGTTTTTTGTTATTGTACAAACCCTTTCATCTTCTAAAACATTGGGAGCCGGTTGAACAAAAGTGTTCTTCCCAGGGATATCCTTAGCAGAAAAGAACGCAATAACACCAGGCATTTTCTGTGAAGAAATGTAATTTTATAATAATGAATTTGAGGGCATTTTAAAGTAAATATACCAAAGCTTGTGAAGGATCAATCTTTGATACGACAGCGTTTGATCTATCTGTGAGTACCAATTGTCCCCATACCTGTCCATGGACATTTGGTATGTCATTAGTGTATTCAGCCTCTCCTATAAAATTGAATCAACTTATTTTTAAATACAGTCATTAAAGATTGATCACTTGCCAGAGCATTGGATGAGGGCTTCGGTTTTTGGTATCGGTTTGTTCAACGGCCAAAGGTTTCGATCAGTTTCAAAGTCCTGAATTCCAGAAGATAAAGGCCTTTCAAGCAGCGGACCGCCGCTTTTGTTTCTCTCACTTATTTTTGAAGGATCGAGAGTTAGAATAAATTTGTAGAAGAGTGAGAGAGCTAAACCTGTTCTAAACGCTGGACTAGCATCGGGAAGGACGTGATCTGGTTTCAACTCGCTTTCCAAGGTTTGTAAAGCCCCTTTGAGAGTCTGGTCATCGAGGAGTTTCTTACCTTTGAGATATTGTTCTGTTTTTGTTGCATGCAGCTTAAAACAATACACAACTATAGTTAATAAATATTCATGTTATAATCATTTTTGTTGGACTTACAAAATGTGGATTGATCCCTCCGAACAATATTGTTGGTGTTTCCATGACTGTGTAGCCATTCGCTTTGTCAACTTTCATCAAAAATCCAGCGTTTACAAATGCATGAGCATTTTGTGCTCTTGGCATAATCTGATAATGAATTTTTTTTTATAAAGCAATAAATTTAAAGTTTTATTATAGGATCTGACCTTATAGGACAATGTAAAGTAAACATTATGGTCTAAGACAGGCAAGTTAATTTTAACTATGGCCTTTTTATTCATATCCGTCTCCAAATATTCCAAAAGGGACATAGTCCTGTTAACTCCAGACCTATCAACTAGAAAATGTAAATATGAGATAAATACTTATGAACTGAAACTTTTGGGCTAGCGGAGCTAACCAATGAATAACGTTGCTCCGACCATTTCCAAGAAAAGAAACAGATCTGATGGAAATTCTTCATTTTGATGCTTCAATGAGATATTTCCTGCAAAAGTTCCGATCTAAAAAAAATATATATATATACAAAATTATAAAACAAAATGAATATGAGAATATAACATAGTGTTATAAACTTGTATGACTCACATTTCTGACTGGTACGTTTGCAATTAAATCAATGTGATCAGCGAGTGTTTTGCAGTATGAGTATTTTTCAGGTTGCTCTTTTGCAAGCTTGTAAAACAAATCCATCCCTTCTGTAAGACTGATGTTCGCTCCAAGGGTGATTCCATCATTTCTAACCTCATAACCATGAAGTTCAGGAATGCCGTTCAAATCAATATATACTTCAGGGGCTTCTTTGATTCTATACACGCCTACAAAAAAGTTATAAAAAATATATATTGAGTATATATTTATGTATTATGTACCCTGTCCAGTGTTGCCAGCTATAAGTCTGTATGTTTTGTCTTCGATCATGTCAAATATTTCCATAATTTCTTTTACACTCAATGGCCTGTACCATGCGGAACCATTTTCCAGTTCAAAGTGAAGTGATGATGGAGGCATTATCGCTGTCGACTGGGCGCTTGAGCACTTCTGATTGCAGGACCCTCCTGAGCAGTTCTGTCCAGTTTTGGGGCAAACAATATCCTGGAGTTTTAAGTTTGTTTCAATTAGTTTCAGTTGAAATGACAAATCTTAGATTTTTGGAATACCTCAATGTCGGCCAACTTTTGCACCAATTCCCCGGGAGCATCAGATGCAAGGGATTTAAAAGCATCGAGTATTGGCCTGTAGCCTGTACAACGACAGATATTCCCACCGAATGAATTTTCTACATCTTTCATCGTCAGTTTAGGGTTTACTTCAAGCAAACTGAAATAAAAATATTTTATTAATATAATATACATACTTTAAAAAAAATACATATTGACAATTTATTAATTAATTAATTATAGAAAACACAGTTAAAGGAATTGTAGCAATGACATTATTCTTCTAAATAGAAGGATTGATTCGATTGTACTTAATTAAGGAACTAGGAAAGTACAATACATCAAAAAGCTGCATTGCTTGTAGACCATAAAGCCCCCACTTCCTAGTATTTGTGTTCATCATCATCATCATCATCTGTGTGTTTTGTCCCCTAATCATCTTGCAATTACAAAAAATGTGACATCCAGTAAACCTTCCCACTTTGAAATTCATTCAAGTACATCACTTTGCAGACTTGTTGATTTCCAAGTAAAATTTTACTTTTTTAGACACTGTTGAAAGAAAAAGGTAAAAAGAGGGATGAAAGGACAGAGCCTAAAGTTATATGATAGGTTTATGGTATGTTTGCTAGATGATAGTATATACTCAGAATCTTGGTAATAAAATGCTTTTGTAGGTTTTTTCTGCTAGATCATCCTTTCAGTGAATTTATACATTTTATTATATATAACAGTATTTTGTGCATAATCCACCTGTGCATATTCATGACCATTCCTGGGGTGCAGTAGCCGCATTGGGTACCGTTGGCAGCTGCGAGGCGCTTCTGGATCTTGTGGTATCCAGTGTATTTGCTCCCAAGGCCCTCGACGGTGGTCACTGCCCAACCGTGGCATGCAAATATAGGCACGAGGCACTAACATAGGCCAAAATTATTGTTTATCAATTTAATTTTTTCATTACACTTACTGAATTGACAGAATAGAAAACAGGATGGTGGGTTGTAGGGTGGACGGAATGGACGGACACGATGCATGCTCCGCAGCCGCCTTCCAAGCACATGAACTTGGTACCTTTAAGGTGGGCATATTCCCTGATGAACGCATTCAGAGTTGTGTCTGCAGGTACATCATTGGAAACTGCAATTTGTTTAAAAAAGGGTTCATATTAAGCAAATAAATTATAATAAATTGCCTTTATATGCATTGGATTGTAAACATTGTAATAGCTGTTAATTTATTAGCTAGATTTGGATATATAATATTATATAAGCAGGCATTTCCCATGCATGAATATGTTGCAAGACCTTCAGGGGAAGATGCATGAACATGTATAAATAGTATAAACAATCAATGTTTTAAGAATGCAATAATTTGTAGTTTTAATTAGTAATTTATTATAAGACCAAATTAATAACATAATTCATGCAAAAAAATGCAATTTAAACAATAGTATTGCACAGCAGGTATACATAGTAGGTACATCTATATAAATATATATAAAAGTGAATGTTCTTATCCATGTTAAAAAACAAAAAACCTATTAAACTGATTTTGATGAAACATTCACACTTTGTTTTTATTAGTGACAGGCAGGTTTAGAGTCTATAAAATAGGCATATAACCAACAATGTGTGTACAAAAAAGAAAAATAACTCTTTTTATTATCCCCCGGCAATGCCGGGTTATAAAGCTAGAAAGTAATAAGTATATGCCAGTTTACTTGATACTGAAATTGTCAAACTAAATTGTTCTATAATAAATATTAAGCTTGACAGGTGTAATGAAGGTTTAATCAAAATTAACTTCTTGTATTAACATGTCTTATATTTCCATGCCATTCTACAAAACTCAGCTAGTTGGTCCAAACTTGTTCTCCTCGTAGGTATTCAAGCAAATCTTCTTAGCTTTGAAAGCACTTTCCAAATATCAACATTGTAAATGCAGTGAGAATTGAGTATTTGCAATGAAATGTGCAATGTGTAATGTTTTTATCTTTGTTTTTATTGCATAAGAAACATAGCTTAACGATGTGACCAATTTTGTAGTTATGTAGCTTTAATAATTCACATCTTATTTTCATAAACTAGCTTATTTTAAGGTTTTTGTTTGTGCATAGGTAAGCATTTCAATTTAGGATACCAATTTATATAATTGCAATTTAGGATAAATTACAAGCTTTCTTCAGGTAGTTTTTTTTTTTTAAATTGGCTTGAGTCTTTTTGATTATGTCACTGTATGTTTGTTTTGAGTTAAATAATGATTGGATAGAATTACAATGTGCCTTTTCAATCTCGCATTCTCATAATACTGTTATGTAGTGTGAGAATCTGTCTGGAGGCAAATTGTCACATCTAATTATACAACTGAGATGTGGTTTTAGTGTGTAAAGAAAAATAGGTGGAGGTTCTGATTCTAAGTAGAGCATATAGTTGAGTTTTGTGATGGTAGGTTTAAGATTTTTTTGAGGTACTATCTTTTCTCATATGTGGGCACAAGGTGAACCTCCATATAGTATTAAATACAATCATTTTGTGTACAATAGGGATTTTATTGCTTAAGACTATATTTCTCAGTGAGTTTATTAGAAATTTTGATTTTGCTGTTTTGCCTACAAAATGTTTCTTTAGAGAAGACTAAGGGTGATCCCTAGTCGCTGACGCACCATACCCATGTATTTCTAAGGATTAACTACTTCAATTTTTGTTTGCACCGTACCACGATTTCTCATTTTTCCTTAACTTACCGCCATTCGTGAAAATCATAATTTTTTATTTTTCAAGGTTAACTGATAGATTCTGCAGGTAGCAATATTTTTCTGATTGGTTTATCATTTTATTTGTAAGGTATATTTGTCTGAAGCTAATAGTTTTATGCATTTCCTTAAGATGTTGTTTTTTCTTTTCAAGTAATATTCAAGATCATTTAGAAATGTGACAAACAGCTGTGGGCTTAAAAGCAACCTTGTTTAACGCCTGTTTCTGTTGCGATCTGCTTAAGAGACCGTTTTTACACCAAACCCGTGCAGAGGTATCAGCATACAGGCCTCTGAGGAATTTAACTGTTTTAGGAGAGGCGCCAATTGACCCAAGTTTATCAAATAGGACCTGTTTATCTACTCTTTCAAATGCCGTCAAAAATCCATGAAAAAATTAAGACTGCTATGTTTTCGGATTATTTTAACTTTACTATTACCGTTAAATTGGATATACTGTGCACTTCCATTATATTTCGGGGTCCGATTGACCAAATAACTTCTTTCTATTAATTAATCTTTTTATGTAAGGTATTGGTTGGAATGAAAAAGTTAGTGTCACGAGCGGGATTCGAACCCACGACCTTCGGCTCAATACGCCGCTGCTCTACCACGAGCTATCGTGACTTCAAGTATTTAGCCGAAAGTCGTGGGTTCGAATCCCGCTCGTGACATTAACTTTTTTCATTTCAACCAATACTTTACATAAAAAAATACTGTGTACAGTTGAGTACTATTTCCGGAACTTCGCTTGGAACTTTTTCAGTATCCATTTTGCTCTGTCCAATAATCAAATAAAAAAGTATTAATTGTATGGCATTTTCTTGTTTTAAGCCCATTAAAGAAGAGTTTTCAGCTGAAATCTTCCTTTTTTTGGTCGAATTATAAAAGAATCGATTGAAATAGCGTCCGTAACGAAAAGAAAATTAGCCGGGAAATGCTGACAAATTCATGAATAGCTTTTATGGTTTCACAATCACGACTTGTCAATTAACTAAAATGACAATTGAACGAAATCCATTCGTCCATTCCAAAACGCCAGGATAATAGATTCTATCCTGCTAACGTCCATTATGATAAAAGGATCACAACAGATCCCCGGTGGAAAAAAAAAAGAACATAAATTATTTTATTGTTCGAAGTATAATTTAAATACCAACGACAATTCCGGTTGTCAACACGCAATTAATAAAAACGGGATTATTATTTGAAATCTGAGGATGTAATTTTGCTTTTACCAACCGCATAACACGCGAGAGAAATAAAATGGAAGTTAGTCGTCAGCCATGTTACGAATTAGCCAGGTTAAATGGAAATTAAAAAGAAATCATCCTCGCCCTGACTAGGAAGGCTTGAAATTATAAGTAGATCTAACTGTTTAATCGACAAACAGCGAGAATGGGTGGACCAAGATGTCGACAAATGTTCAGGTCGCATGTTTCTCGACAATAAAAACAACCATTAATACAGCAGTCATTTCAAATTATGTTTATTTTTTATTTTCTTGCTCGGTGCTTAGTGAAATTTTGAATAAATACCTAATTATTAGATTAGTTAAATCAAATCATCAAATATATGACATTATTTAGTTAGTATTCCATATTTTATATAATACATCCAGGAGATTTAAGTACCTAAGCCGCAATTTTCATGAAGGAAAAGAAGCAACCACCATAATTAGCTTTATGGAGAACTTGCAGAGATTGACTTCATCCCATCCAATTAACATATAAATCTTCTAAACGTTTTAACATTTTTGGCTCTTTCTAATCTTTCCTAATCCAAGGCTGTTGGGACATTAGACTAAATTATAAAATACCTTCTACCAAAAAGGACAGTTGGAAAAGAACTTTCACAATTGGTCGTAGTTAAAAGAAATAAAACAAGTAACAACAGATAAGCATAAATACAGATAAAATGAAACGACTGTTTTCCAAGGTAATTGAGGGATTACTTTCTGTATGAATCGAACAATACATAAAAATCCATTCAGCCAAATCAGACCAATGCTCGAGTTTTATTAAAGAAATGAAACGTTTCAGGAAAATCGTCGTAATTGATTTAACGGAAATTCTTTAATAATGACGAAGCCATTCGGCAAGGGGTGCAGCGAAAATTGTGGCAGGTGGACTTGCTACTTAGCCCATTATATTCGTCCTTGTGTGAAGGAAATGTAAACAAGACAATTCGACAGCGATCATGGAAGAAAGTTCAATATTTTATTAGGAGCTTGCAATTGAGAAAAAATCGTTTGATTCAATGGTTATTTTGTCAATGACGCAACCAAACTCGTTGCAATTCCACTTGCAATCATACCAATTATGGCTGTCATTGGTAGGTCATAAATTGATCAACGACGCAATTGACGCACTATATTTTGACAAAGTTATTGGCGTGGAACGTTCGAGGGGAAAAATTAAATATAATGAAATAATATTATCTACCAGAACAACTAAATAAGCTCGCGAGAAAACTTTAGTCTAAGACTACCACAGCCGCTTATTGTATTTCGTTAGTGACGCATCGAAAATTGTTGCAACCAGATATGCTATTATATAAATTATATTTGTCATTGTTAGGCCTTCAAATTTATAAAAAGACGGAATTATAAAATTATATTCCGACAAAGAACTTTTAACTAATTAAACTAGTAAGAAAACGTCATTTCATTGTTGATGCAGCAAAATGGACAAGCAATTATTTATAGTCTTCGATAAGCCTTCAAAGTTACAAAAACACTGACAAAGAAATTTTAAATCAATAAGCTTGCAAGAAATTTTAGTCCAGTACTAGACAATTGCTTATATTTCGTTACTGATGAAGTAAAAATGGTTGCTATTGGATTTGCAATTATACCATATATATTCGTCATCGATAAGCTTTCAGATCTATCAAAGAAGAAATTGTGAAATTATATTTCGACAAGAAATTTTAAGTAAATAAACTAGCAAGAAAACTTTTGTCCAATACTAAACAATTGCTTATATTTCGTTACTGATGCAACCAAAATCTTTGCGCCATGGGATTTCCTGATGGACGAGCTGAGGCCATCGTGGAAAACGTCATTCAATGAGATAGTGTCATTCAAAAGGCGAACAATCAAGCCCATAGTTCGGTGGAAATCCAAATGGAAAAATGATTCATCGCTCGGGGTGTTCCAGACGTCTCGAAAACGTCTAACGGCGTCTCGCAGAATTTCGTAGGGAACTACGGTGGCAATAGCAGGCGTAGGCAATGAATGGAACGTCCATCATCAATAAGTGCCACACTACGCCCAACATCTTCAGAACCAAGTGGCATTTTTAAGTTTAAAAATTGAAATTAAGAAAACAAAGGTGAAAACTAAACACTTTATTGCTTCAGGTTACAAATGAGACTGAATAAACATTTTAAATTCCGTAAAAAGTTAACATGGAAATATTCTTTATCCTTGTTTCGGTTAAAGTATTAAGGGTATTTACCTGTAATTGATATTCCAAATTTAAACCTTGGCATAAACAAATATTTATTGGTAAAAAAATGAGACAAATTAAGGGCAGAATTTGTCAGTGTATTTTGACAAAGAAAATTTAGCTAAATAAACGAGCAGAAAACCTTTTGTCCAATAATAAACGATTGCTTATATTTCGTTACTGATGCAACAAAAATCGTTGTGCCTGTAATGGGATATGCCACTTTCACCACTAACCTTTCAGAAAAGAAAGAAAATTTATTAGAATGATAATCCTATTGTCTATATTTTATAACAATAAATTGGGGGTTCACCCAAAGAATATAATGAATTTGATGGGATTTGGAAAAGTTTTACCACGAACTGCTTCCCGACAACCAAACGGCCCATCGCATAAATTTCTGTTCTCATCTCGCCCAGCCTGGAGTTATCAGTGAGATTAGAAAAAAAACATTATCCAATGGAAAAAGTTATATACCACGGCCAATTTTTCGATTAAAAACAGGAAAATTATCAGGAATTTAGAAACATAAATAACCTGGATCAATGAAAACCAGTCAGCAATATTACGTATTACATATTAGCTTTGTTCTAAACATAATTGAATTAAAACTTTTACATTACTATTACATCGAATGGATACACTCAAAAAAAAATGTTGCAAACATCTTAGACATTTTTGGTTTGCATATTGACTAATGTAAGATTAACACGAAAAATGCCAAAAGGGTGGCAAAGTTTAGTTGAAAATCGTTGGATTTTTATATCCTTCAAAAATAAAATTACCAGTAACCAGTAACCGGAAAGTAAAGTGTACATACTCGTAATGTAAAGGATTTAATTCATAAAAATTTTAAGTTAATCGAAATTGTAATTGTTTTTGGTAGATTGCAGGAAAGGGGAGTTTAAACTAAGTGGAGCGTAATTTTGGTAAATTGGACCTATGTTGTCAACACTAGTTTAATTCGCCATAATGAAAACGATTGAAACAAAGCTCCATCAAACAACATTGTCGTCTATTATTTTTAGAAGAAAAACAACTCGATTGGCGATGAACCGTCAAATACAGAAGGCAGGATATGCTGCAACGGATGAGCTCTTATGTCGTGATTCTCACAGCCTTGAAGTCATGCCTTATAGTTCCATTTTTTCTTCTTTTATGTATCTGTAATCTTTTTTCGGTGAAGAAAAAAGACAGGACTCATTTATCGTCAGGGAAAAAATTAACCAACCCGATAATGGTGAGAATTTCTCCTGGGATCTGTAGTACGCATATTGTTTGATAGTTACTTATTTATTTTATTTTTTTACGAGGGCATTTCAACTACGAGGTTGAACCCGGGAACTTAACCTTACAGTGATGAGCGCCGTGTCAATGCCAAAACCGTTATGGCCACCGATAGTTACCTATCATCATGGAGTCCTCGACAGAAATCGTCCAAATACTGAAGCTCTGAACCAACAAAAATCGGTGATGATAGGCAGTCCAACTTGATAGGTAATTACCAAACAACAACTCGATAGTCGTCGGTGCAAATGTCATTATTCATACCGAATCATTTTGAATAAATGGCACATAAAAGAATGCTATCGTCTGAAATGTGATACCTTTGTACGACTTCCCGTTTATGGTCAGCTCCACTTCTCTCCCCAAGCTCCTGAAACAAGACCAAATGTGTCATTAACCAGGTAATTTGACTGGAGACAATAATAGTTTCATAGAGAAAGACCTGATGGATATAAACCCCAAAAGGTTATAGAAAATAATTGATCGGGATTGGAAAACAATTAGATGTGGTTGTAATTAAATTTAAAAAAATTCACAGTGATAGGAGACAACAAAAGATTTCATCGGGGAAAGGTATCACACAAAATCACGAGCTCCCACTACTCAAAAATGTAACAAAACATTCAGATTAAAAACTACTAAACGTATGGAAAAATATAACAATCACCGGGGCATAACCTTGATAAATAATTTAGTGAAAATCTTCACTATGTTCCGTTGTTTTAAACACGTTTTATCTGAAGAAGAGTGGGTTTTCGGTATGGAAAAGGTTGTAATGATACAGTCTTCATTCTCTACGAATATACAACTTAGACTTACCGAGAGTAAAGTTTAGATTAAATCTTTTCAAGATGATAGTTCCTACTCACAGTAAGTTGTTATCAACTATCCGGATTTCGAGCCTACATATCATCTTCAGATTGTAGAGCTCCTTGAACCTGATGATGAGCTGTAGGCTCGAAATCCGGATCATTGAAAACAACTTACTGTGAGTAGGAACTATCTTTTTAAAAAGATGGAACAACACACTCACTCCACCATTTACTCACTCCACCATTTATCTTTTCTATTAAGTTTACATTATGTTTGTTGAACTGCGCTAAGCGTTGAATTCAGTTTCCTACTCTAAACTTTACAGCAAACCATTTGTTTTTAGTGGTCTAATTGACCAATTAGATCGATATCTCAAGTGGTTAGAGCAGCGGCATATTCAGCCGAAGGTCGTGGGTACGAATCCCGTTCGTGACACTAACTTTTTCATCTCAACCAAGACCTTACATAAAAAGAATAATTCACGGCAAACTTGACAATCTGGGAATCAGCCCAACTTTTATTAGGATACTAAAAACGCTATACTCGCAAGCGAAATTGTGACCAAGGGGGTTTTGCAGGGAGAAAAACTTTACGTTCTCCTTTTCTATATGAGTATGATATTATTCCGCAGTAGATTGTCTGAAGAATGTACAATGACAGCATAAAAGACTTGTTAAAAATATTTTTTGTTCATATCATCATGATTGCTGCGTACTCATGGCATGATCAATTAAAATTGAAATTGCTTATGTAGCACTTAAAAATCAATGACCTGGAGGTAAACACATCGAAAACGGCAATTATTCCATTTCAACAAACCCGGAAAGAAGGCAAATATCAAACCTTTTACATAGAATAATGCCCAGCAACCAATTCAATGATTTATTTAAGCGTGTTGTTCTCTCCTTTGGAAAATTTGTTCAGAATACGAAAGGCTTCGTTTGAAAAGAGTACAATGAAAAAATTCTTAAAGTATTTACTACACCCCTCGCGATAGATGGAAAGATACATAGAATGTCGGAGAGAGTGTGTGAAAGGGAGGGAGAGAGAGTGGTTTCTTTACCCCAGAGAGAGTAACCCTCACGCACGGAACTCTATTGATACATGCTACATATCTCATACAATATTAATTATTATTTTTTTAATGGTTTGGAAGTCAATATTTCTTAGAAAATGTATTAGCTCTTTACACATGTCTTTATTGTACTCAAATATCGTAAGGCCGGAAAATGGCCAGGAGGTGTTCTGCAGGTCCCAGATACGAAGTGATCTCTCCTTCACGAAGTTAGAACAATGGAATGTTATTTGTTCCCAAGTTTGTGGTGAAATCTATTCAGATATGCCCTATTTTTCCCATGTCTACTCAATTCCTTGGTGATTGTGAATCCAGTTTGTGAAGAGGACTTGACTCTCGGCTGACTACGTTGGGCAAGAATTTCTTTCACTGGCTCCTATTTGCAGTTTCAGCTGGATTCCCACTCTTCAGTGCTCCTTAATTCTAGCATGGATGTGAAATGTGACTTAGGCAGCTCACAGTATGCCTCCGACAGACTGCTGCTGTCAGAAGCTTGATTGCTTGACAGCCAGCAGATCCGCAGCTCTATTTCCCTTTAGGTCAATGTGTGCTTTAACTCAGCAAAAACGAATCTCCATTCCGCAGTCTGTTTGCAGGTTGTACATTAGCGCTCTCTCTCTCTCTCTCTCTCTCTCTCTCTCTCTCTCTCTCTTTCTCTTTCTCTCTCTCTCTTTCTCTCTCACTCGCTCTCGCTTTTTCTCTCTCTCACTATCTCACTATCTATCTCTCTCTCTCTCTTTCTCTCTCTCTCTTTCTCTCTCTCTCTCTCTCTCTCTCTCTCTCTCTCTCTCTCTCTCTCTCGGCATTATAACTTTGCAAAAGTGTCCAATTTTGTTTTGGAGTCTGAAATAATTGCCTGGTCTAAAAATATCTCTATGTTCAAAGGATAAGGTGATAACCTCAGCGGGGAGACTATTTTTAGATTTCTGCGATGACTTTGACCTCATAATTTTAAATGGGAGATCGGCTGGTGTCCCAGACGTTGACTTTACATTTATTGGTTCAATGTGAAGGTATGTTATAGATCTATGCTGCGTCTCTTCTTCTGCCTATCCACTGATAACCGACTTTAAACTGCGTCCTCAATCCTCTCCGAACAACATTTCTTTAACTCAGGCAATCAAACTGTCTGGGATGTGAGGGTAGCTTGTGCTGCTAGTAAGGTTCGAAGAAATGTTTGGTTTGACTATGCCTATATGCATGCCCGTAAAAAGTCCCCCCTGTTGAATCTCTACGCAAGTTACTAATTCTGAAGTTGTAAGACTAACTCAAGGTAAGTTCAAATATTTCTTACAAAAGCCTTTGCTTAGAATAAATAGAAATTTTCTCATGTTGACTGACACTCGTTTGGCTTCTGTTGGGATTCGAAGGAGTTTTGGCGGTTGGCTAACTACTTTAAAAGAAAAAAAAAATTTGTAGCAGTGCTATTTCTATTTCCTCTTGGGCTCAACATTTTCAATATCTACTGAATCCAATGTACACGAACAAAACAATTCACGTATAACCAGAACCTACGTTCGTTAAGCCCCTCTCTTGACGACCCATTTTCCTTCAATGAACTGCTTTCTGTTATCGGTATGTTAAAGGATAAAAAGGCGGTTGGCCCTGACAGAATCCCTTTTGAATTTTTTAAATACTCACCCACGAATGCCTTGAGCGTTTGCTTTGCCTGTTCAGCTTGTTATAATAAAGTTAAATAAGTCAATAAAGTTAACTTCACCTAGGTTGCTTCACTCTATCAAAGGGATGAACCTCTGGGTTTTTTGGAGGGTTCAAGATCTAGACTTTTGATTGGGTTTGTGAGGCAGGCTTGTAGCTACAGATACGAGCTGGCGGAAGAATTTAATTTTTGTTTTTCTTACTGAAGTAATATATTTTTTCTCTTTTTTAAATGCATATATCATTTTCATTGCTATTTATTTTAACAGACTGGCAGATGGATTTTTCGATCCATGATCCATTTACTGTTGTTTTTCTTCTCTATTTTCTTCTAATTTTGGTTTTTATTGTAAGTATAGCAGTTTTTCATTCATTCAACTTTAGCAAAAAATGGTCTTTGGCTAGGAATCAACTGGTGGTAACAGATTTAACATAACTTTCTCAACTCGCTGGCATCCGTTATGTTGGCATAAAATAAGGCCTATAGAAGTTGAAACACCCTGAATACTTTTTTCCAAAACGGAGTTCGTTTTCCATTAAAGGAATTGCACTTGACCAAACAAAATCATTAACACTAAGGTTGTAACAGATTTAACAACTTTCTCATCTAGCTGGGAAATGACACTAACTTTTTTATTTTAAATGAGAATCCCATATTTTTATTGTACAATTCGATTCTAAAGCTTATTTTATACCACTTTTACTGAATTCTTTTTTGTTAGGATCGACCATTTTTCAGTTATGCCCGACGGAAGATGTGAGGGGAGTATGCTTTTTGTAACAAGATGGCCCTCGTTGATTTCGAAAAGATTAGCTTGACAAAAAATGGTCTTGTACAAACCAAAAGTTAATTTTGACTAGGAATCGCCTGGTGGTAACAGATTTAACATAACTTTCTCATCTAGCTGGCATACGTTATATGTTGGCATAAAATAAGGACTATAGACGCTGATACACCCTGAATACTTTTTTTCCAAAACGGAGTTCGTTTTCGATTAAAGGAATTGTACTTGGTAAAACAAAATCACCAACACTATAGCTGAATTTTTAAGTTTTTTAAACAAACTAAACAAAATTTCATAACAGAAAAATCGTCGTACATTATTAAGTAGATATATTAGTACGCGACAGATTAGTAAAACTAAAAGTTTCAATTAATGGATCTTCTGTTTACTCATATCTACTGTTTGTGATATAATGTATAAATGTTATCAAAGATCCAGAGTCCAAAGAATGTATTTTGACCCGGAAAATACCCACTCTAGAAAGTTGTATCGTGGGCTCGTTTATCCAGCATGTCCTGCTATTGAGCAAGGTCAAGTTTCCTGCCAAATATAAACGCAGAACTTTTCATGCCACGAAGAAATAATTAGAAAGATCAAATAGGCCAATTTATGACGCAGTTCCGGCCACCGAATCAATTCAAGAATAGATGAGCGGTTTTTTGAACGGTTAGGGTTAATAAATCGGTTCGTATTTCGGTAGTGTTTTATGGACGCAATTGAAGTTCAAGGTAAAAAAACTCAATTTCGATTAAGTAGAATGCGAGCATCACGATTCAGTATAATGTGCTCATACCTTTTCTCCTTCTTCTTCTTGTTTTTCTCACCTTGAGAAAAAAACCGCACGACGATTGCAGCAGATTTCATCTCCACTAAATTCGAGCAAACAAATCGTAATTTTCTGAATTTTTTAAAATTTAATTTTGTTTACCTTACAAGACCAACCATTAATTTTACAATTATATATATATATAAAATAAATAAATATTTACATATCCTTATAAACCTAGTGGTGCAATAAGATTTACTCTTCACGGTTCA